CACTAAAGAAGGTACCAAGGTTCTAAAAATAAGAACGGTACAGAGGCACGTACTCCCACTTTGAATGTCGCGCTCGCTCCAGTCGTTCATGTGCCCGTAGCCAAAGATGCTGTACTCGGCGTCGGCGACGGCGACGGGCGCGCCCAGCGCGTTGCCGCGGCAGACGAACATGCCCATCTCCAGCTCAATGTCGAGCCGCGCGCAGGGCCGGAAGACGGGCGCCGTGGCCCCCGGCGCCGGCAGCGCCTGGCCCCAGGGGCGGCGCAGCGGCGTGCCCGAGACGACGACCGAGCTGGCGCGCCCGTGGTAGGCCACCGGCAGGTGGTTGTAGTTGGGCTGCAGCGCGTTGGCGGGGCCGCGGAAGAGGGTGCCCACGTTGAAGGCGTGGTTGCGCCCGGCGAAGAAGTCGGTGTAGTCGCCGATCGACAGCGGCAGGTGCGTTTGCGCGTCGGCGAGGGCCACGAGCGCCGTCTGCCGCAGCGTGTCGTTGGTCTGGAGGAGCTCCGGGTACGGCGTGTCCTCGCGGAAGACGTCTTGCAGGTACTGGCGGATGGCGCGGTGGTACGGGCGGCCGAGGGCGGCAAAGGCGTTCAGCGTCGGCTGAGCGAACACCGCTGTGTTGCTCTGCAGCTCGGGCGCCAGCTTGGAGAAGCCGGCTCCAGATGTGAAGGCGGAGAGATCGAGGACATGCTCGCCGACAGCGACGGCTGGTCGGTGGTGTACATTGGATGCCGTGGAGATGATGCCAAAGGGGATATTCTTCAGCGAGAAATGCGAGGACACGGGTATGGGGAGCCAGGACTTCATGATGAGCTGTAGGGAGGGGTGTTGTGGTATGGAAAATAAGATGTTGGCGAACGAGACGTCGTGATAGCTTCCAATGTGAATATTCCCCTATGATTCACAGTCCTGTCCACAGCTTAACATACATCAAATAGCAAATAGACCAAAAGTCACACAGAAGGAACTGATAAAGTATCAGACCGATCGGATGATGCAATCTGCCCAGCAGCTAGTCCACCAGCCGTGGCATTGTCCCTTCGGAATCATGCTGGAAGCCGCGTTGGCGCCTCAGTGCAGTTTCACGGAATTTCGGACCTGGCGCGGGGTCGCATCGCAGTGGAGGTGCCCGAGGCCTGGAGGCGGGGTGAGGAGGGGCTGAGTCTCGGAGCTGCGCCGCGGTACACTCTGGCGCCGTCAGGGGCATGGTCATGTTGCGTCCCCAATGGCCATGTCCATGTCTGGCATCGCGTGGTTTTGGAGAACCCTTGGTTCTATCGACCGCCGATATGCCGTTCCTAACACCGAGTAGCGCGTCGCATCAGTAATTGCCCGGTACAATATGACGGACGTCGTATGATAGACTTTCTTCACCTTGTGATGATCGCCGCACCCACGGCAGCTCCGGAACGGTAGTCAGTGCCGGAAGCCCCTCGGAAACGCCTAGATAAGACCTTGAGATCCAGACCTTGAGATCCAGACCTTGACGGGCACCAATATCTGATACCCATCTTCTTGCTTGACACTGCATCTTTGCAGACAACAATACCGAGTTTTGATACCACAGTGAGGCAGAGTCAAGATGCCCGTCACTAAGTTTAGCACTCCGGAGAAATATCAATACCTCAATGGCTTCGGGTCAGGTCATGAGTAAGCCATTACATCTTAGCTTCCCTGAAGCAAATGAGACATATGCTAATTGACTCCTCTGCACCGTAGGACCGAAGCTGTAGAGGGCGCCCTGCCTATCGGTGCCAACTCGCCCCAAAAGGCACCTCTGGGCCTCTACGCCGAAAAGCTCTCCGGCACTGCCTTTACCGCGCAAAGGCACGAGAACCTGCAGTCATGGCTGTACCGCATCCTGCCAGCGGCTTCACACTCGAGCTTCGAGCCACTGGAAAACCAGGCCGGCTCGGGCCTCGCCGCTGACACCAAAGTTCACCAGATCCCCAACCAGCTGCGATGGAACCCCTTCGACATTGACGAAAAGGCCGACTGGATCACCGGCATGCAGCTCGTTGGTGGCGCTGGCGATCCCGTCATGAAGCAGGGAATCTCCATCTCCATCTTCGCAGCCGGCTGCGATATGGACGCCCACACAGCCTTTTACTCGTCCGACAGCGACATCCTCATCGTCCTCCAGCACGGCGTCCTCGACGTGCAGACGGAGCTGGGCAACCTTCTTGTGAGACCGATGGAAATCCTCGTCATCCCGCGCGGCATCCGCTACCGTGTCACGCTTCCCGAGGGCCCTGCCCGGGGATACATCCTCGAACTGATGCAGGGCCACTTCACGCTCCCCGAGCTCGGTCCCATCGGCTCCAACGGCCTCGCCAACGCGCGCGACTTCCAGGCGCCCCGCGACAGCTTTCAGCACCGAAAAGGCCGACTGGACCATCGTCACCAAGTTCAACGGCAGCCTCTTCGTCGCCAAGCAGGGCCAACACGCCCTTTGACGTCGTCGCCTGGCACGGCCGCTACTACC